TATATCGCACGATAGTTGACGACGGAGAGAAGAGTAGGAAGTACAGTCAGTAGTAATACGCGCAGTAGAACTACCCTTCCCCCCCCCCCACCCCCCCCCCCCCCAACTTGTCTCTTCCCGCATCGGCCAAGTCCGAAACAAAAAGAAGGGCTAGAAGAAAAAAAAATGATCTGACAGATATGTTTTACCGGCAGAGGTATCCGGGCTACGGGAAAGTCAAGTCAGGTTTGGGGTTACACAAAGGAAAGCAAATTAAAATATGCGGTGAACAAAGGGAGAGAGCGGGATAAAAAAGAGAGACATTGGCGCTAATGCACCCGAAACAATGGTTCGGTATCCATTGAGAGAGGGGAAAATACGCCGAATGGACAGGCTTGGGTCCCTGTGCATCCACACCTACAGAGGTACAGAAAAAGTAAAGAGATAACAGTGACAGGACAGGGCAGGACAGGCTTGACACTGACACTGACAGGGAGGGCGATACGAGAAGAAATGGAATCGTTATCGAAGGTTGATTTCTGAGGAATGCTTCTCGGGAGAAGCAAATTAATTGCATGTCGTGCAGATCCTAAATGTTAGTTTACGGTTTCAGAATGCTTTTGGTGTAGGTAGCCTGTAGTCAGCCTGTAGGGCATGTCAGTCAGTTGCTTGACTTTAGGGGTGTTGTCTCCCTGCTTTGTACTCTGCGAACCGCTATCATTTGGCATTGGATCACAATAGTTATCTCAATCACTTCCATCACCTGTCACCGAATAGAAAAACGTGATATCACCCATAAAATGTGATTTCACGAATCATGTCTCAAACCGTCAGCACACTTTCCGCCAAGTTTCAAGAGTCATTCCATCCTCCCAAGCAAGGGTTCTCTCCCAAGATACGACCCTACTCAGCATACAAAACGTCAATCTTGCTTAGGGATCAACAAACACCCACACGATTTCGGCACATAACAAAACAACCTTGCTCTGGGCCTTGGGGTCGTACAGACCGTGTTTCCACTCCGGTGAGAAAAGTAAGGGCGGGGACCCGTGATAGCCTACCCTTGCAAAAGAAAAAAAAGTCAGATCAGATTTTCTGACGCATGCTACGATAATCCACGGTTAAACGTGCTTTTTGCTACGTCATCTTGTACCTGGTGACTCCCGGTTGCCACGTTGTTTTGAGGGGGGAGTCTGGAACGCGGCTGTTGGGAATAGGACAGGTCACTTTTCTTTTTGGGAGGGGAGGGGAGGGGAGGGGAGGCTGAAGAGACAACAAGTGACAGCGGATGTTTAGTCCCGGTTCTGACAGCTTGGGCGGTTAGATATCGGTTTGCCTAAGCGGTGCTTACATTAGGTCATCTCAGACTGTTTGTGAGCAATCCCATCTCGTGTTTGTAGTTACACAGTCACGGTCACGGCCACAGTCGCAGTTGTCCAACGACTTGAGCATAAGCAGATGTTTTCTCAGCAACTTCTCTTTGTTGTCTATGAACCTTGATGTCTTTCCTTTGGTCTTGTGAGCAAACCCTCGCCAAATGACGAAAGAAGTTGGCTGCAAGAAAAGACCCTGCATCTTAAATTTGCCACGGGATCTGACCGAATGTGATATCTTTTCATCTGATATCCGCGCAACATAGGAAACATCATGACAATCAGCCAATCAGCCAATCATAGACTGTCCCCTCCACTCTCTTGTCCCCAGAAAAGAGATGACATCTACTCAATCTCAACAACCGAGACAATCGCCAACCATTTACCGCATCATCTGGGCCCCAAAACCCCCCCTGGTCAAGGCCACTAAACTCATAAAGTATTCCTTACGAATCATACACAACATTACCAAAGACACTTCCATCATCGCAACCCTCCACTCCTTGCAAATTAAACTAATGCGTGTAAGTTAGTGTCACTTCGGCCACTAATGCAGCCTGTGCCGGAGATCCATGTCGGTGGGGTTCTTCTTTTTCGAGCAACACCCGACCGGCGACGTACGTCAAAGAGATGATCGTTCTGGACCTCGGCGTCTAGCGCTCGGTGGTCCGATGACCTAATAATTGGCGGTACGCTAAGGCTGAGAGTACAGGTACCTACATAATGTTATCTCTCGGAGGGGGCGTTTGGAGATACCGCAAACTTTATTGTTTGCGGGGGAGTGCGGAGGAATGAGAAAACAAGACCAGAGATTTTTTTCCCTTACTTAGGCTACCAGACGGGATTGATAGGGAATCATGGAAACTCGCTAAAGGTCAAGCAAATCATCGCAGCCTCGCAGCTCAAGGCTATAAATATTCAGCTGTGTCTCGTAGAAGACAACTAAAAAGATATCATCAACTAGAATCTCACATCATCTATTCTCCAAGTTGTCGCACCATGAGTAGTAAACCATCTGTTCTCATCATCGGCGGAGGTGTCTTTGGAACCTCCACCGCATACCATCTCATCCAACGCGGCTACACCACCGTCACAGTGGTCGATCGTTTCGAGGCCCCGTCTCGCGACTCAGCCGGCACTGACCTGAACAAGGTTATCCGTGCAGACTATCCCAACCCGTACTACGCTCAGCTCGGCCTCGAGACCCTTGACGTGTGGAAAGATCCAGACTCTCTCTTCAAGGGTCTGTATCGCGAGTCGGGATGGATCATGGGGGGTCATGAGGAGACGAATCAGTGGTTGGAGAACGCTAAGGATTTGGCCGAGAAGAAGGGGAGACAGGGAGTGGAGTATCTGGATGTTGAGAGGATCAGAGAGAAGTGGCCTGCTCTGACTGGGGAGTTTCCGGGCTGGACTAATCTGTACAGTCCTCAGGCTGGTTGGGTATCATCAACACTCCATATCTATCGATTCTCGACACTGACTTGCTCTAGGTCCCCTCAGGCCAAGCCCTTCTCCGCATGGCCAAAGCTGCAGAGAAGAATGGCGCAAAGTACATCACCGGCCATGCAGGCCAGATCAAGGAGCTCCTATACGAGGACGGAAACTGCAAGGGTGCCGTTGCCGCTAACGGGGAGATTCATCGCGCCGATAAGGTCATTGTTGCAGCTGGAGCAGGTCTCCCGGCTCTTGTCGAGGGAGCGAGAACTGATGTCAGAGCGGAGACTTCGGTAATCTGTGTGATGAAGCTGGAGCCACACGAGATTGAAAAGTACAAGGACATTCCCATCATTGACGACTTTGAGCAGGGTATGTGACACTGAAATTTGCGATGATTGGAGTGCTGATAGTGGATAGGCATCATCTTTCCTCCTGATGAGAATGGCCTCATTAAGCTATGCAGTGTTCGGCTTGTGACCAACTATTTCAACCATGTGCACTCTGGCGCCTCAGTCTTGCATTCAGTGGGCGACTATCCTTTCGATGGATGCCCCAAGGAGCTCGAAGTCGAGATTCGAAAGTTTGTTCGAGAGATGATCCCTGAGCTCGCAGATCGACCCTTTGTCCACACCCGTCAATGCTGGTAAGCAATCCTCCTTATCAAGCCACTTATACCTAACAGCTCTACCAGGGACGGCATGGCCTCAGATCTCAACTTCCGCATCTGCCCTTATCCTGACACAAGTAACCTCTACATAGCAACAGCCGGTTCAAACCACGGCTTCAAGTTTCTCCCAATCATTGGAAAGTACGTAGTCGACCTCCTAGAGGATTCTCTTGATTCGGGCCTCAAGAATCTCTGGAGCTGGAAATTCGGAAAGAAGCCCGATGATTTCCAAGATCCTCATCCCTTTCCCCGCAGAGACTTGAACGAGTTGACGGGCTGGAAGGGGAGAAACGCTCCAGCGGAGGGAAAGCTGCCTTGGACGTGGAGCCGTAGTCGTCTCTAGTGGGGTGTAGATGTAGTGGATATTTTAGTTTACTCACATCTCACGACTGGAAATCTTTCATCAAAATAGATCCGCCAATGTAGGCCTAGACAGGGAATAGAAATCATCACATGACAATGCACTAGCTACTTAGTTAGTCAGTTAGTGAGGGAGATCCGCTCGTATGGATCTGCGTGGGAACGCTAAAGTTTGAACTATCTTGAGATTTAGCGTTGTTTTCTCTGGCGGCCCTGTTTTCTCACTTCATCTTGTCCGTGGCGATGTTTGAGTTATTAATTGAAGGACTGGAAGTTTATTTCCCGTTTTAGACGGACGAGAATGCAGTCCAATGCCGTGAATGCCCGCCCGTCGGTATCACTGCGGCGTCAGAGTTGGGCCTTCCAGTAGTTGAGTACCTATAGGGTACTAATCTTGACCCATTGGTCATTTGCTAGGTAGTCATTGAGTTGTTTTTCGTATAAAGCCGCAAATAGTCTCAGTTTTGCTTTTTATTCCTCTGAGTAAACACCGATTTGTTTATTATTTATACCATTGTTTAGTGGCTCTGCTGTGAAACTCTAAGATTTCCTAGTGGAGTATCACATATGTGACTCGTCATTATCCAGCATCTCGGTACTTATCACACCGCACTAGGCAAACATGGGCAAATTCCAGGGTCGCAAGTTCGTGGCCTGCACGGCATGCCATTCTCAAAAGCTAAAATGCAATGGAGGTGCGTATTTCAATTAGTCCTTTCAAGGCTATTGTTGATCGTATGTAGATATTCCATGTCACCGGTGCATTCAACGAAATAGAGAATGTGTATATCCAAAGAAAGACAAATTCATCACGGTGCCAGAGAGTTATCTTCGTGATGTCGAGGAAAAAGCCAACATCAATAGTCAGTTCAGCTTTTTGACTGGAACAGACGATTCAACGACACTCTTCGATGCAGGCCAACTGTCTCCTACGAGTGACACCAGTCACTTAAAGGATTTGTGTCCAGCAGAAGTCTTTATACAGAAGTTGACAAACATTTCTGCCTTACTACACCCATACATACAGACTGAATCATGTCAGCAGCTACAAGTGGGTGAAGCCGGTGAATTAGTTCCTTTTCGTCTGAAATCCGAGGCTGGAGGTGAGTGGAACAGATGAAAACTCACCAAAACAGAAAATATACTGATTCAGATCCTCTTAGGGTCTCAGATGTTAGTAAAGCTTCCGTCAGAAAAGCAAGCTATGCATCTTCTACGTATCTTCGAAGCAGCAAACGGTGAATATCATTGGTTTCTCCGTCAACGATTTAGAGATCGGATACGGCAGACATACTCCCAGCCTACAAGTCACGTCGACGACAGAAATTGGTTCTGCCAACTGTCCCTGGTTTTGGCTCTGGGTCAAGCTCTGGAGGAGGAACCAAAACAAGAGTCTGAAGAGACTAATGACCCATGGCATTTCAATCAACCTTCAGCTCCATTAGATCTTTTTGGACAAGCTGTGCCTTTATTAACTATCTCCGAGACTTTAACATTGGAGGACCTTGAAACACTAAATCTCATGGTAAGCTAAAGCTTCTGTTTCAGAGGAGGCATGAGAAGTAGCTGACCGTTGCATAGGCTTATTACTGCCATTTTACAAATCGCCCAAAGTCAGCTATTATCTACATCAGCCAGAGCATAGCGCTAGCAAGGCTACTCCAACTTGACGACCCAGAAACATACAAACCCAGGATTTCGAAACGGCAAGACAGTGAAAGCCAACAAATCACCAAAGAGCACATGCTTCGACTATGGTGGACGACAGTCTGTCTGGATAAGACACTTGCCTCAGAACTTGACTTGACGCCAGTGTACTTGAGCCCATCTCTGGAGTTGCCGTTGCCGTCTTCAGAAGGTTTATCATCAGAGGATGAGGAGGAGTTCTTCGATTTGGAGCTATTGCTGGTAGAGATTCAATCTCAAAGCTAGAAACTGTTGTAAAGTTGTTCTCTTTCTCAAGTATATGGTTATGGAGTCATGGTATTGAAATACAGTGGTGGAGTTTCTAGGGGACAGTCATCTAAGTGCAACACAGAGATCTTCTACTTTCTCCCAACAGTTGATACCATGGCAGGTCCTGGTGATTGATTAGATGGTCAAGCCTCTGTGGTATGTTGACGTCGTAAGTAGTGGTCTCATGAGGATATTCTGGTGAGGAATAAACTTTCTTTACAATAGTATACTGGAATCGAATCTAAATACCTATAGCCTTCCGACTGGAAATAGTTCTTATTGTGAGATAGTATTCTATCAAAAGACCAGGCAGTATAAAGGGTCCCAAAAGTTGATATAAAAGAACGGTTAACAACCACATTGTTCAACATCAAAGAACGAAGACGGATGAGTTTATGGATTGAATTATCTGACTCAGCTAAGCAGAAGTGCTTGGGCTATAGATAAATCATCAAGTGCCAGATACCAAAAGTTTTATTTCAAATAGCAATATAACCAAAGCTTCCTTGAAAGTTCCAACCCTAGTTTAATCCTTTCAAGCTCTGTTAACAAGATGAGGCGGGAAAAGACATAACATCTCCATCCGAGACGTGGATCGCTTCTTCAAGGATCGATGGAACATGAGATTTCAGGCCAGAAGCCCGCCACCATCTACTGCTAACCATGCACCAACAATCTCTCACTCAGAATACAGTAAGCCACCAATAAAAGCAACAAAAACGGGAATATATCCCCAATGAAACCACTCATTCCCCCCAATAAGCGACTTGCTCACGAACCCATCAGTCGTCAGCATGAAAAGGGCCCCAAGCAATCCCATCCCCATGAGCTTCTTATCTCCAGTCAAGGCGTTGTTGATGAAAAGGTAAGAGATGACGATATTGCGTGCGCCTTGTAGACGTGCGAGGGATAGGCAGGTCTTTCGGCTCTGAGGATCGGCCGGAATGGGGAATTTGACGATCTTAAGGGTGGCTTCTGGTCGGAACATTGAGTTGATGCCGATGAGGCCGGGGATGGCGGAGATGACGATGGCGCCGCGGTACAAGAAAGTGTCCCACATGATGAAGATTTCTGGGGTTTGTGATGTTGTAGGAGGGAAGATGAGGTTGAGGAACACGTAAGATTGGATATGAATGTCAGAACCCTATATCACTCCATGACGTGCGGACATAAGCACTATCCCCGTCGCGGTGTATTAACTGTATCTCCGATTCATGTTATGGTAACCTGCGCTGCTATTTGGAACTGTTATATAAAAATAGGGGCAATTATTTCTGATGTTAATCATTTGTAGAAACCAATGCTTCAACACGCGTTGGACAACCGTTGGTGGCCTTTCAGAGTGTGCTACGGAAGTTGTTCATATTTGACTATATTATGCAAGACGAGTAGAACAAGTCAAGAATTGATTAATTATCAAATTATATTCATTCGGACACTATATATTGAAGATGAACTACGGTAGATCAGTTATGGTGAGTGAATTATCAATATAGATATGTAAATCATTGACCATTATGTTATGCTTCAGAAAGCTCCCTCAAAGTCCACTGTACAACAATGCTGCGGATTTTAGACGGAATAAACCATAGTAACAGACCTTTCTTATGAACCATGAGACGGGTGGAGTGCTCCGTGCAAGATGGGTTGAGTAGAATATTCCATCAACTTACAGGCCTAGACGCTTCCATCCTTGGACCTGTAGACATGACAACTATACACTCAGTTGATCTTACTGGATTTTCATCATTCTAGCTCAAGCTAAGAATAAATTACCCCTTGTGGAGGACCGGGCAGCTTGTATACAAGTCTACTACTGATTGGTGTCAATATCTGATCAAGGGATGGATGTGAATGGCTAGCCAACACTTGCCCAAGCCCAGTCACAAGGTCAGACTAACACCAAAACATTTTCCGCTATGGAATTATAGGATATACAATGCGGAATTATACAAGTGACCTGGACATGTATATCCAGTGCAGGTGTCGGAGTGTTTGCCCATCTACAGAAGCATACAAAGCCATCATCTGACCAACATCAACATCAACAACGCCACGATAAGAAGCCCAACCCCACCCACCACGGCCGTAAAGCATTTCCCCATCCGTGTCATAGATACGTCCCCTATCTCGGGACTATCTACGTCACCCTCTCTCGCGATAACGCTACTGTACCCCGCGTTTTGACGCTCTCATTCGACCATCCCAAAAGGGTTATGTTAACCCGCAGGCGGTCCTCGAAATGTAACCAGATCTGGGTTTCGCTGGCGTTTATCTTGACGATATGCTTGACGTAGAAGCAAGGTATGGCATAAAGAAAAAGAAGGCTGCTGTGTAGATGATTGTGACTCTGTAACTAATTACTCTATACCATTGTTTGTCTGTCTGTGAAGGATACGTCTTTCATCATGCTTATCTTTTCGGAGAGTCTTCATCCTTATACGGTTCATACTGTACTTGTTGTATCGTTTTGTGCCACTGCTTGTGTGTGTTTGGGCCTCTTGGCTCATGCTCTTGTGTACAAGCGAAAGGCTCTCAATCGATATGCGTATCCATCATCTCCCCCACCAGAACCTGTAAAGAAGACTGCTCCAGTGGACTATACTACTGTTTACCCTCCATCGCAAAGACACGCTCTGCCTGAGATATCGCCTGACTTTGGCTCTGGCGATGTTGACCTGTGTGTGGCATCAAAGCCTCTTCTGAGGTTGGACGAGGACTATCGTCATGCCAATCCCAGCACATTCAACTTCACCAGCTTCAGCGTTGGAGAGATCCGACGACTTGGAGACTTCCCTGACTATGCAAAGCTGTCTGGTGTTCCTCTACCAGAGCCATTAAAGAGCTTCAATGTCGACAAGGCAATGCCGAGACCATATCGCCCATTCCGGTGGGCCTATCACCAGACCATGTGTAAGTGCTACCCCATCGCCTCAATACAGCGACGAAAGGCTAACACCAGTTAAAGCGCTGAAGAAGATGGACCCAGATTTCTGGCTAGAGATAGAGAACACATATCGTGAACGCGTCGCCCAGCGACAAGCCCTTTACGCAAAGCACGGCAAAGATGTCCTCCAGGCCTTACCCGGCTCAGAGTTAGCATGTAAAGAGCTTATGGAGATGGTCATTCAATTCCTTTGCGCGCGATATCCTCAAGCATTTGAACTCCATGGTAAAGTCTTTGTCAACCACATTCTGGCAGTCAAGGAAGATCTTGATCAGACCGAGCCTCTGCTCTTCCTTCTCAATCACGTCCCTGAGGATTTCGCACTCACATTACGAGATCCTGCGACAGGACGGTATTGCTTCAGAGCCGGTGTGATTTGTTCCTCTGTTGGGTGGAAGCTGAGTGAGAAGATTGGACTGGGATTGCCCGAGATACATGCCCCAGTGCCTGATTACAAGGAAAAGATGGAGTTTAGCATGGACCGGTACGTCAACTTGAACCCTGACATAGTGATACGTTACTAATGGAATGGCAGATTCTTCACTAAAATGCCCACCAACAGCCCCATCCAGCGCGGATCCTGGGGGCTCGAAGTCGGTCAGCCGCTCTTCATCCCCGCCGAAGACCCCGAGTTCAAGATTCGAGAAGTTCAAAACACGTCTCTTACGGAGGAAGACATTTCTCTTCGAGTTGACTGGCAGACCCTACGTCGTCTACCTCTTTCAGGCGCTATCGTCTTCAACTTCAAGGCCTTATTCACACCAATGACTGAGTTTAGAGATGAGCCGTACGTTCCCTCTTTGGTCTTGAAGGTGTTGAATGAGGGGAAGGAGAACATTATGAAGTATAAGGGAACGTGGCATGTTGAGCATATTACGAAGCCGACGCTGAGGAAATGGGAGAGGGAGCAGATTGAGAAGGGGTTGATCCCTCAGGATTGGGAGGTTACTACATTGGCGGAGAATCCGTTCTTCCCTGGATGGGAGAGGAAGTGGACTGTCAATTGAGTGAAGCAGTAGATATGGATATGTTATGAAGCGAATTCAACTTATTTCTGGCACAATGGTATTCTATGAGCTCGGTATATCGTGATGGCTTCATTCTACAAGTTGATGTCACATAGTTGGACGATAGGGACTGTCTCAGAAGGCCGGGTCTGGTGTCAGCAATGAGTGTTTGACTTCACTGTGGGAATCTTGACTGTAAGAGCTGAAATAAAAGCTTCATTTTTGGCTCTTCCATCTATCAAAACAATGCGTAACAGACATAAGATTGCTCTATCAACTCAGGAATGACCATCTACCAAGGGTATTTCCTAATCTCACCCTCCTTCTCGACATCCAACCCCCTCGCCAACTGCTTCTCATGCTCTCTATCAAGATACTCTAACAGCACCTCACCATACTTCTGCTTACCCTTATAGTTCGCAACCTTGTCATCCCAACTCCTCACCGCACTCGCCAACCTCCCCGGAACGTAATCCTCCTGCGCAATCTCCGTCACAGGGTGAAAATACGTACGAATGGTAAAAACCACACCTCCAGTCTTTGGTAACCGACGAAGAGACTGTCGCTCAGATCGAAACATGTGGTGCTCAACAGCTCTATCCTTCTCAGCGGTGCTCCAGCTCACAGAGGGTGCGTCTTCGTTGCCGATACTCCAGCTCCAGGCTAGACTTTCGTCGACTTGGATGAAGTAGTTGTTGCGGTTGTAGACTGTTTCTGGGCGAAGGCGCTTGAAGAACTTGCACATTCCGGTCTCGAGCTTTTCCTTGAAATGGGGGACGTCGCCTGATGTGTGGATGTCGGAGAGGGACATGCCGTATTTGTCTGAAAGACGCCAGAAACCAGCGAGGAGAATAGCACCGGCGAGGAGATAGTATTGACCATCGGGACGTTCGATCATGATCGCGAGATCGTCTTGGATGAGACGCGAGCAGATGGCCATAGGGTCCTCAGCTAGTGGGCGCTCAACAATGTTAAAGTCTTCGCCTGACCATTTGTTCTTGATCCCAACAGCTGTCCGTTCAAAAAGACTTGGATATCTCGCAGGGAGGTAATCAGCCAACTCCTGCAGAAGCTCAATAGCAGCAGGATACGCATCAGGGTGCGTATCAACACACTTGGTCCCTCTCTCCTTGATCCTCGCAGCTTTATCAGCGTGGTATTTCGGATAGTGATTATCCAGCTCAATCCACTCCTCTACGGGACATGTGCGCAGACCCATGGTGACTTGATAGTTGGGGCCATAGCGGAATGCTCTGTAGGGGAGGGGCTTGGTCTTTTCGATGGACCAGTTGGGGTAGGGTTCTGGGACGGGGGTCTTGTAGTCGCTGGGTTGGTAGTTTGATGATACAGGAGGGAGTTTGCTTTTGTAGCGGAAGCTTTTGCGGCTTTGGATGATGTCGTTGAGCTTGTAGCCGAGAAGGGCGAGGCTTGTTATGATGCTGAGGAGTATGACGGCTTCGTGCGGGCCGAAGGAGGATAATGAAAAGTCCATGATGATCTGGACAAGAGAAGTACTACCTTGATGTAAGTAAGTACAATAGAAGGTGCTTTTGCTGTAGAACAACCGTGTAAGTCAACACATATATACACAACCTCATCAGCACACTTAGCAGCCATACCACTCATTTTAACCCACCATCCCACTATCACCCCCCCCATATAAACAAGTTACGTATCTATCCTTTTACAAACCGGAAATCGCTTCTCCAAACGGACGCTCCACGCCCCGCGACCTCCGCTCCCGAGAACCCCACCCACCTTGGAACCTCCGGGCAACTTGACCCAAATAGGAAAAACCATGCTATCGCCATCTTATCATTCCCCGCAAACAGTCCGGTAACATTGCTCCAAAGAGGGAATGAATGTTTTGGTGATGGTTAACCTCGCCGCTTATGTGTGAAACTAGAGCAAGTAAGTAAGTATCTCGAGGAAGAATGAGGCTTGAGAGATGGGTATATGAAAGGGTCTTTTCCTCGATTGTCTGTATCTAGCATCAAGCAATCTACTTCCATCTCAAACACTCCATCTCTTCACTCAAACAAACCCTTAATAAGTCAATCTCCAAAAGATCTATCAAAATGGCCTCCTTCAAACACTTCGCCCAAGCCCAATCCAAATTCGAGATCCCCCCTCTCTCAGGCGGAAACACCTTCATCGGCGACATCCACTCCACGCCCGAGGGCGCTGAGAAGCCCCTGGCCATGGGCCTTTTCCGCGTCAACAAGGGCGAGCCTCTCACATACACATACAAGTACGACGAGTGCAAAATCATCCTCGAGGGCAACTTTGTCATTGAGGACTCGACGGGCCAAAAGGTCGAGGCCAAGGCTGGGGATGTGTTTTATATCCCCAATGGCGCCACGCTGACTTTCTCTTCGCCGGATACGGGGTTGGCGTTTTATACTGGTGCGCGAAAGATGGGCGATCTATAGATGGAAGGGCTTGGAAAGCGGGATCTGATAGATTAGAATACTTCATATATGAAGCTCTCAATTAAGCCAATAACCCAAGTTGAACTCATACTGTGATATCTCGCTATCAACTCCAAACATTGATCCAATAAACAATTTCATTTACAATCCTACCCAAACATTGATCTCAAGTTGTTATCCTCCATCACGTCCACCCAATGCACCGAAGCCGACCCAGGTGCTTCGCCATCATACGCATCCCATATAGCCTTGATCAGCTCCTTCGCCATCATAACCGGTTTCGGCGGTAAACTGCTTTCCAACATGTTCAGCCGACCGGTGATGAAATGCCGAGCGTTGCTAATATCGAGCGACATGCGGGATATTAAGTTGGCGGGTGGCGGTGAAGTGCCCAGCATGTCCATAGAGAAGGGATCTGTCTGGAAGCTTGACGAGCCGATGGCTGCATCGAACGAAGAGGTAGAAATGTCGAGCATCGTTGTAGTATCGTAGCGAAGACCAGTACTCGCGGTGATGTATAGCAACGGTTGGATACAGCGTGTGCCAGAGTTGGGCGGAATATGCTCCAAGACATTAACAAGGCGAAGACTCAACGGAATAATCCACTCCTCCCAAGGAATATGTCGACTATTCGCATGGACAGAATCAGTCGGTAATCGCAAAGCCACCAGATCCGGGAAAGTCTGATACAGCTGCAATAACGCAGCAAGTTTATAAGCTTCAGCGACCTGCGCAAGATGAAGCGACGGCGTGCGATAATCTCCCGTGTTAGCAACACAAAGGGTATTCTGGAACTCAAGCCCCAGGAGCTTCTCCTCCAACCGTTGCGCCTCTTGGATCTCCTCCAAAGCGCGCTGGAAATCCCGTCCTGTTTCTTTGGGCAGTTTGAGATTGCGTCGGAAGCTTCGGCAGAGCCTTATCGCTTGTGCGAAGAGCTGAGAAGCGAGCGGGGAAATGCCAGTCCACGGGTGCGGTGAGTTGTCCACGTATCGCTCGGCTAGTTGCATTGAGGAGTCGGTTTGAGGGCCTGTGACTGGATCGTCGGTGTCGAGAGCTGTATCGTCTTGGTGAACTGCGGCAAGGAGCATTTCGCAGTATGTTAGACTCCTGTTGAAATATGATAAGAGTTCCAGGTCTTTTGCTGAGAGAGATGAAATACGTCGGTTAAGGCGGTTCAAGATCTTGCGAGCTGATCGGAAGAATGGTAGGCCTAGTTGTCGCGCATCGACCCAACACACCGTCGTTCCCAGACAAAACAGCGAGAATAATGCGCCAGCGGGCATATTATCCGCAGCTGGGTTCTGAATAATCTCTTCAGCTTCTGAAAGCACTGATCCAGTAGCTGCTTGCAGGAAATACATGGCCGATTGCTTCATGTGCGGTAATCGTGTAGACAAGAAGCCAGCAGACATGCTCTGTAGTGAACTAAACACAGACTGAGAACTCGTGCATAGCTCGAGAGCGAGTTTCCGATTGAGGTTAAAGTCTGAGTCGAAACCAGACCATAACGTGCAGACTTGCTCGAACCAGTTGCTGATGAGGAGGGATGAAGTGTCGGTTATAAGTCCGACAGTGAGTGGTGTTCCCTCGAAATATTGAGATTCATTCGTCGGTGTAAGAGCCTGAGAAGTCATTTCGACATTCTGAACCGTCATATCGCTTATGTTCTCTTCAACGATGGAATTCGACCGTGCAAAGATATCCGACTCGGTACAAGAACTCGTAGTCCAGCTCGCGTCACCCAGAATTGAAGTGTTATCCTCAATAGGCAACTCCTCGGCCAGCGCTGGAGCAAGTGGCTCTAGTGGGATGTCGAATACCGCCGAAGGTGTCGCTACGAATGACGGTTCGGGCTGTATAGTCGAACTTCTTCGCGAAGAGGTTGGCGAAGTTGGGGCCGCGAACTCGAAGTTTACCTCGCCTGGTTGATGTTTGAAGGACCATTTAAACTCTTTCCAGTAACCACCGCATTTGACACCTTTTCGAATACATCTCAGACACTCAGGTCTTGTCTCATCGCATTTTGTCTGGACAGTCAGTATGCGATATCACAACAAGCAGAGTGAACCTACATGCTTAGCCTTGCAAGTAACACAACCCGAGCGAGACCGTGGATTAGGACCATTCTTGGTCTTTGAGGCTCTTCTGCAATTTGGCTTTGTTGATGTTTTCGTCTGCATTTTGCATGTCTCTCACTCGGTAGAAAAAAAAAAGTAGAGGTTGGAGCTATGAAATGAAAAAGGAGAGAAGATCGTCCTCGCAAGAACATGGAGGTGTTGGTCCTTAATGGGGATTCGAGAACGGGACATGGGGGGCCTGGGCGTGGCAACGTATCTCCAGGCCCTGGACCATTGGACGAGATAAAAAAACGCGGGGAAGTGCATCACTATCAGCCGCTAATAGACGCTAATTCTTGGGTTCACTGTGACGACGTAACGCTGATAAGAGGTGAAGCTATTGGTTTCTGTCGAGAGATAGGCTTTGGAAGCCGAGATGAGACATGTGCGTCTGAGCGATATTCTGAACTTGCTGTCTGTTGAACAGTTTGTATTATATCAAGGTAAATGT